TAGAATACACTTAGTTTAGGATAAAACCAGAAGATAGGAGTGTGGTTGGCAGTCTGTGTTCCACAATTTCTCCAGCATGAGCTGGGATGTGTTGGACCCATTTAAAAAGAGAACCATTTTAAACCCAAAAAAAAAAAGAAAGAAGAAAACTGATGATGTACAAACAATAATTAACATTACAAAAAAGTTCAGTCTGGTCCTCTGGACAGTCAATTTTTTTTTGAATGTCCAGAGGACCAGATTGAACTTTTTTGGATTTTTCTACCTGGATTATTGAGCATGTATCAGAATAATTAAATTCATTAAAAAAAACATTCAAATTGAAAAGTAAATAAAGTAGTGATGTAAAACGAGACAAAAACAAGCTACATTATGAAACGGGGTAAAATACTAAAAACAGGAACATGACTGCCTTGATTTTTACATTGAACTGAACAATTGTTTAAAATCCCTTAGAGGTCAAAGTCAACAGCTTCAAATCTTGTTGCAAGGTGTTCCAGGTTACAGCAGCAGAGTAAGAGAAGGCCCTTTTGCTGAATTCAGTCCACACTGAGGGAACGCTGTAGGTAATTATGTCTTGAGAGCGCACGCTGTAGCTGCGCTGAAGACGGGACAAGTAGGAGGAGATGTATGAAGGCAGCAGACCAAGAAGTGATTTAAAGATGAAAATGTACAAGTGTGAGAGTTTGCGTGAAATTAACGATGACAAATTGACCAAAGGATACAGAGTGCAGTGATGAGTACGGTAGTTGCAACCAATTATGAATCTTAGCACACTGCAATAGATAGCATCCAACATCTGCAAGGTGCTTGCAGGAGCATTCATGTAAATAATGTCACCGTAGTCAATGACTGGAAGAAACTAGCCATTGGGGAGCACAAGCCAGTGTGTCTCTTGTGCCAGTTCCAAGCCCGGGTAAATGATGAGGGTTGTGTCAGGAAGGGCATACGACGTAAAACACTTTTGCCAAAACTATAATGCGAGTTCATCAAAGCAAAAACATACCGGATCGGCCAAGGGACAGGTTAACAACGAATGCCACCGGTGCTGTTGACAAACAGGGTGCCGGCGGAAATTGTGCTACTGTTAGTCGAAGACCATGAGGAGGGAAACATTTCAGGAGACAGAAAGAGAAGTGGAAAGTGAAGAATGTAGGACTGAGAGTTGCAACTCTAAATGTGGGGACAATGACAGGCAAAGGTAGAGAGCTGGCTGACATGATGCAGAGAAGGAAGGTAGATGTTTTATGTGTCCAAGAGTCTAATTGCAAGGGCAGCAAGGCTCACAGCATTGGAGCAGGGTTCAAACTGTTTTACCATGGTGTGGATAGAAAGAGAAATGGAGTAGGGGTGGTCCTGAAGGAGGAGTTGGCAAAGAATGTAGTAGAGGTGAAAAGAGTGTCAGATAGGGTGATGTGCCTGAAGATAGAAGTAGAAGGTCCGATGCTAAACATTGTCAGTGGTTATGCTCCATAGGTTGGATGTGATGAGGAGGAGAAAGATACATTTTGGAAACATGTGTATGAAGTGATAGAGAGTATTCCCAGGGAGGAAAGAGTGGTGATCAAAGCAGGCCTGAATGGACATGTTGGTGAAGGAAACAGAGGGCATGAGGAAGTGATGGGTAGATTTGGTGTCAAGGAAAGAAACCAGGAAGGACAGATGGTGGTGGATTTTGTCAAGAGAATTGAAATGGCTATAGTCAACACCTATTTCCAAAAGAGGGAGGAACGTAGAGTGACCTATAAGAGTGGAGGAAGGAGTACGCAGGTCGACTACATTCTGTGTAGAAGAAGACACCTGAGGGAGTTTGGAGACTGTAATGTTGTGGCAGGGGAGAGCATGGCCAGACAGCATCGGATGGTTGTGTGTAGAATGACTGTTGTTGTGAAGAAGAGTAAAAGAGTAAAATCAGAGAAGAAGACCAAATGGTGGAAGATGAAGAAGGAAGAATGTTGTGAGAAATTCAGAGAGGAGCTGTTAAAGGCTCTGGGTGGTAAGAAAGAGCTTCCAAACAACTGTGCTACTACAGCAACAGTAATTAGAGAGACAGGTAGGAAGGTACTTGGTGTGTCATCTGGACAAAGAATGGATGACAAAGAAACCTGGTGGTGGAATAGTGAAGTGCAGGAAGCTATTCAAAGTACGAGATTAGCCAAGAAGAAATATGACAGTGAGAGGACTGAAGAGAGGAGACAGGAATATAAGGAAATGCAATGTAGAGCAAAGAGGGATGTGGCAAAGGCAAAGCAAAGGGCGTACGATGAGTTGTATGGGAGGCTGGACACTAAAGAGGGCGAGAAGGACTTGTACCGATTGGCGAGACAGAGGGATCAGGCTGGAAAGGATGCGCAGCAGGTTACGCTTGTTAAAGACCGAAATGGGAATGTTCTAACAAGTGAGGAGAGTGTGATGGGAAGATGGAAGGAGTACTTTTTGAGGAGCTTATGAATTAAGAGAATGAAAGAGAAAGAAGAGTAGAGGTCATAGAAACTGTAAACCAGGAAGTGGGGAAGATTAGTGAGGGTGAAGTCTGGAAAGCTTTGAAAAGAATGAAAAAAAAGAGGCAGTAGGACCTGATGACATACCAGTGGAGGTTTGGAAAAGTATTGGAGAGAGGCTTCCTGAGCCAGCAAGTGGCACTCAGATTGTCAGCTGAGTCTGGAAGTAGTCCCGATCTAATTCCTGGTCTGTTCTGTACAGCTCTCTGCAGCCACTGAGTGTCAAAGTCACTATGAAGAAGGATCAAACTTTTAGTCAGCTTCGGATCAGGTTAGTTTGATGTTACAAGACTGCAGAGAAGCCGAGGAATCTGCCAACTACAACCACGTGAACACGAACACTTCAAATGTTTATAATATATGAATACATATATAAAGGTTGAATGAATCTTCATTGCCACTGCCTTCATGTGTTTCAATTCTCGGTTGTTTAGTTGTAAAATTAAAATACTTTTTTATGAAAGTAAATAGGACTGTCTTTTCGACATTTTGATCGCTGTTATTTTGACAAATTGGCGCCGCTGTTTTGATACGTGATGTACCATACATCACGTGATTACCCATCAAACATTTCTCTCATATTTTTAATAATTGATCTTAATTTTATTAATGACCCACTTATACTGTAAAACTGATTTGCAAGTTAGTTATGCTATTTATTTATATTTTTGTGTTGTTAATCAAATTGCCCATGACTGAAATTTTAGGGGCGGATTTTTTTTAAGGGTAGAAGAGGAAATAATTTCTCGAAGGGGCGGCTTTGATGTGATATTAGGAAGCTTGTAAGTGGCTGTTATGTTTAAAATGAGTGTTTATTCAGATTACATGTCCAATTTAGGTTTTATTCAATCAAGGCAGTCAAATTTGTTCATAACTTCATTATTAAGCCTGAGAATTACCAGAGCCAAGTTACCGGAATGCACCCCGTCAAAATAAGAGAGTTCTCGGATCCTGTTCTAGCAGAATCCGGCTCAAATTAAGCCCTGGTGAATTCTGTACATATCAAACACACAATAAGTATTTACCTTTTGCACTAAGTCATCGTTTTAAAAAGAATCATTGAAGCTGTTCGTTGTATTGTAACTCCAAAAATAGTTAAATGTCAAATTATTATGATATTCATGCCCAAGATGAGTGCATGCAAACTTCTGACTGAAACTGTAGTAACATAAAAATGCAGGTTCAGGACTGGAAATATAAAAATCTAACAAAGACATGAACTAAAGAAGCAGAGATAATAACAGGAGGGTGACTGTTCTTGTTTTTATATGCGTCGACTTTGTTTGTTTCTTTTGGCTGCTCCCTTCTTCAGGGATCCACAGCAAGTGATCTTGCTGTATATGTAAATAAACTTCTTGTAAGAACCACATTGGCTCTGGGTTGTTGAGAACAGGCGTGTTGATAAAGATGCAAACAGGTGCGGGAAGCTGGGAAGAAAGGAGATCCATGCACTTGTCAGGTTTTGTGTTTAGTTTTACTTTTGTCGTATTTTTTAGATTCCTTGGGCATCAGTCTGTGTTTCCTCATTTCATTTCCTCAGCTCTGCCCCTGTCTCACACCTGTTCCTTGTTGTCATTGAACTCAGCTGTCACACTGCTCCCTCAGTATTTGTGATTTGCTGCCACGTCAGCTTTTTGTTTGTTTCTTTGTTCATTTTAAAACATTTCTTCTTATCGAGTCCTTCGTGTTGATCTGCATCTTTGGGTCTCAACAAAACAGGACAACGAGAAAAAAAAATTCAAAGAAAAAGTATCAGATAAACTCAGAATCAAACACTTTACACGTCATTCTCGTTGACTTCCTTTAACTTGAAAAGTTCAGGCAGACATATTTTAAACACCTCATGCAGATGTAACTCTCATTGTTGCTCAATTTCCCTAAAGCTGACATCCTGAACCATCCCGTCCTGTGGTCCTGATGGGGGAGGGGGGGGGGGTGCATCCGGTCTTTTGACAACCTGATAGATTAGCTCCATCAATAATCACATTATTAGAAAGCGCGGGAGGCTTTCCGGGCAGCGCTTTGTGGACGTCTGTGCCAGATGCATGCGCGTGTATGTGTGCGTGTGTGTTCACCTTGCCCTGGCAGAGAACTAGGGATGTGTGTGTGTGTGTGTGTGTGTTGGGGGGGGGGGGGGGGGGGGATGCTTTGTCATTGAGGAGCAGAGCAGCATCAGCAGCAGTGTTTCTCCACTCCGGCACGTCCGACGCTCAGCATGCTGCATCCTGATGCGCTCCTCTCCGCACACGCGCAGCTCACCTGGACCTACACGCATTTCTTTCACGCTTCAGCGTCTGTCTCTGCTTTCCCCCATGTCTGTCTCATGGCAGCGGGCAGCACACAGTTGACTCATCTCGATGTTTGAACCGGAGGAGAGCGGCACGTCCCAAGTGTCAGCGAAGACTCGACCCATCCTGCGGATGCGCCGTCACCGCAGCCCGGGTGCGTGAGATTCATGGTCCACCCCGCCGCGCGTTTACGGGCTGTCTTGTCTTCAACATGGAGAAATTCCAGTCTTCCATGCGCAAACGTCTCTACAGTCTGCCGCAAAACATCGTGCAAAAGCCCGCGGGGGCTGACGGCGAAGGGGACGGCGGCAAGGACACCGGGAGGAAAAGTATTCGCCTAAAACATTTGTCCTCCTTGTCTCCCGCCAGCAGTTGCAGGAGCATCGAGGAGGCCAGGAGCGAGGACTTGGACAGGGACGTGGCTGTGAGGTCCAACTTGAACGGGGACTGCCGCTTTTTCAGGAGCAGCATCTCCTCCATCACCGGACCACATCCTCCCGGCTCGGATCCGGCGGAGCAGCGGCGCCTCCTCCCGGAGGCTGACGCCGGGGCCAGCGAGAGTTTGCCCGGGGAGCATTATGGCCCCGGGCCCCTCCAGCAGCAGAGGCTGATGGGAGGGCTGCTCAGCGTGCCGGGGCAGCCCTCCGTGTTCGACCAGACAACTTTCATCAAGTTGGAGGGCACGGAGCAGATCATCCCGGAGGATGAGCGGCTGTACCAGGCGGGCTTCATGCACCGGCAGTTCGGGGCCATGCTCCAGCCGGGAGTCAACAAGTTCTCCCTGCGGATGTTGGGGAGCGAGAGGGCCGTGGAGCACGAGAGGGAGCGCGTCAAGTCTGCGGGCTTCTGGATAATCCACCCTTACAGTGATTTTAGGTAATTTATCTGCATTGACGAGCTGCGGGGGTGTTTGCGTGACCTTGTCCCACACATGAGACATCATCAACATGTTAGAACAACACACCGGCTGCTTAGATAACATGGAATAGATGCAAACAGACTGCGGTCACCAAAGCGCAGCCCGCGGGCCAAATCCGGCACATGCACGACTCACTTCCGGCCGGCATGGGGTGGGTCTGGGAGCAGGTGGAGTAGAGGGATCCACCAACAAACTACTTAGGCAGGTGTTCAATCCTGCACATCTGCTTCAATGATTACAGCTTCATGTTCTGATGACCCGCTGATTCAAAGCAGGTGTGCTGGAGCAGAGGAACACCTGCAGGGGAGTGGCTCTCCAAACACCCCAATGAACAGTGAGCAGGGTTGGTGTGTGCGCGCACATTTTTTTAAACAATCCAAATATGTCAGAGTGTAAATTTGTGCATTAAAATCATCAAACATAAACTCATAACTTTTTATCAGGAAACTTTTACTAATTCTTTTTAAAGTCTCTGATATTTGTAGTTATTAACATTGATCATTCAATCTTACTTTTTCTCATGAACAGTAACATTTTGTCATAGTGAACTAAACAGAAAAACAAGAAGAACACGTTTTAGTTATAGTGCATAAAAATAAAAGTATGACAAACAGCGCATGTGTTCAACAACAGAAAAGTAGAAATAAATTCAAACAGACGCCTTCATAATAAAAAAAGAATCATCGCTTGTGAGAGTCTATAAAACAAATTGACTCTCAACATAAGCGCTTTACGCTGATTAATAACTAATGCTGCGTTTAAACAGATGTGTGATTGATGGAAAAACTTACATTTTTTCCTCTGACACTAACGTCTTAACACCAAGCTTGAAAGTTGTGAATCATCACAAACAACAATAAAAACAACATATAATAATAATCATTTGTGTATTCTATCATCAAAGACCAGACCCCACAAAGTCCAAAATTCTGGTCCATGATCTTATTGTGTTTCCTGCATTTAGTTTAGACATTTTAAACTTAACTTAAAATGTATCTAAAGACCATTTGTGCATGCATTATTGCAAGTATACATTTGTTGCATCATATACAAACTTTATTTACATTTCAGCTGATTTAGTGCTTTCAAACACACAGGGACAGAAGCAAGTCACTAATATGTGTGTTGGTTTTATTTAGTAGCATAATCTAAATCCAGCTTATTCCCCTATTTAGCTTATTAATGATTCATTCATCCATCCATTATCTTTACCCGCTTCTTCCTTTTTGGGTCATGGGGGTCGCCGGTGCCCGTGTAGCCATCGCTGTACGAGAGGCGGGGACACCCTGGACAGGTCTCCAGTCCATCACATGGACATAGAGACAAACAACCATTCACTCTCTCACTCACTAGAGTTACCAATCAGTCTAACATGCATGTTTTTCATCTGTGGGAGGAAACCGGAGTACCCGGAGAAAACCCACGCATGCACGGAGAGAACATGCAAACTCCACCCAGAAAGGCCCACGGACCGGGGTTTGAACCAGTGTATCCTGCTCGCTAAGAGGCAGCAGCTCTACCAACTGCGCCACCGTGCTGCCCTAAATGATTCATCTAAACTTTAAAAAAATCCATCTAAAACTTATTTGATAACCGCCCCCACCCGGCTGGAGCGTTTCTTTGCATCCAGACAGGATGTGTATCACCGCCGTTAGAGGGTGGGACTTTGATGACATGTAACCTTGAGGCTCACTGTCGTCCTGTTGTATGCTGATGTGTGCCAGTGCAGAATTTTTCCACTCATCTGAATTGCACTTTTTTTTTTTATCCAGGGCAGTGGATTAAAGAGAGTGTAGCAGGAGCTTTGAAATGGTGTAATTAAAATAGGGTAACATGACCATTGAAGATATTAGAAGCACACATCAGTGGAGATTATTACAGCACAATTAGTCTAATGGAGCAGAGACAGCGTGGACTGGGAGGGGACGCACAGCAAAACACAGACAGAGAGACGGATAGAGGGATCGACGGGGAGAGAGAACACAGGACAAGAAAAAGGAGATTGAAATGAAAATGATGTGAGGAATCAGGACGTCCAGCTGTTAACTCTGAATGCTGGATGTACAGGTGTCATTACTTCATGCAGACTCTGGGTCACACATGAGCAGGGGGCCGCAGTTTGAGGCTCTTAGAGTGATCCCCTCAGTAAGTTGCAACACTAAAGATGATTCAGTTCCCTTATTTTATTGTGTTTGCAGTGAAAGCATGGCAAGTTTTTATCCAGTAAACATGCACCTTGACTTCCTGCAAGTGAACCTCCGTGCACCATCGCAGCTCATCGTGATCCATGCATCACCTCCTTGTTTATTCTGTCTCGTTCAGGAGTAACCCCTGCCTCGTCTGAAAGCTTTCTGGGAATACAGGAGCAGACAATGTGAACTGGCACGCCGTGTAAATATGGTTAAAATGATTGCTGGTGGGCCTAAGCCACAGTACAGGTGTGTGTTAAGCCACTGAGCTGCCTGCAGGCTGTCAGGCCTCAGCTGCTCTCTGGCAGCAACAGATCTGTCGTACAAATGTCATCCCTTTTTTCAGCTGTCCTGATTGATCTAAGCTCCTTTCACCAGTTTAAGCCTTGTTGTGTTCACTTTCCTTGCAACTCCTGTGACTTTTTGCAGTCTTAACGTGGCCGCACTCTGACCCAAAATGGTGCTCCATTAATCAGACTGTCCCCCCCCCCTCCAAAAAAAAAAACAAACAAAACAAATTTTTTGATAGTAGAAAAGCATTGCATTAGTATTTTTTCAGCTACTATTGGGCTGCATGCTATTGCCAGTCTGTGCAGGATGGCAGTAATGCACTGTCCCCTTCAGACCTTTTATTCCCACTACATTTATTTATTTATTTGTTTGTTTATTTCATCCAGCTGTTCCAGTGTTCTGCAGCACTGGTGACGTGTGCAGAGCTGTAATGCTAACTACTTAACATCTGGCCGATGGGAGCTGACTTCTGGAGATGACATGGATTCCCAGGATATAACGGTGGATTTAGTCCGAGAGGGGGCGTGCAGTTAGGACCAGTGTGTCAGCGCAGAGACAACGGGCAGATGTACAGAAAGATGATTAGAACAAATGGTCACCCTTGGCCGGCTTCGTCTCCGCTCTTAAATGAGTTTTTTTCTGTAAAGGTTTGGTGTTTGGAAGCATGGCAGAGCATCTGAACTCTTCTCCACTCGTAGCAGAGGCTGACTGGAGGCTCGCTGGTACTGATCAGAAGCTCGGAGAGGCAAACGCAGCCATCGATAAGCTGCCATTGTTGGACCTTTAAGGGAAGCCATCAGCTTCATATCATGGCTGAATTTAGTTTGAGCTTCTTTTTCACTGTGAAATTTCTCTGTTCTTTAAAAACATACAAACACATGAAGGTCCTATCCTGTTTGGGCAGCTCGATGGTGGTTAGCACTGTTGCTTAAGAGCAGGAATGTCCCGGGTTCAAGTCCCGGTTTAGAATTGGGGTCTTTCTTTGTGGAGTTTGCATGTTGTCCTTGTGTTTGCATGGGTTTATTTTTCCAAGTACTCTGGTTTCCTCCCACAGTCCAAAAACAAGCATGTTAGGCCGGCCCATTGAAAATGAGATCTGTGCTCTCAATGGGATTTTCCTGCTTAAATAAAATCACTACTTTTTAGTACCACAGCTGCATTGACTGTTGTAGCATTTCTTATTTTATTAAGAATATAAAGTCATGGGGAAAATTATTCAAATCTAACATTACGTTTAAAGAATCAGAATAAGTTTTATTTTCATTGTACCGGGATAGAGTGAGATTATGTTCGTACAGTCGTTCAAAAGATGGGCAGAGTGCACGTTGCTGCTGCTACAGAGCGCGGCCTCTTATTCTTTATCAGTATGCAGCAGTTTCTGACATTAAACATAAAATCAAAGCCTAAATGAAAAAGCTGTGTGAACTGATCATCTGATCTTCAGTGTGAACACAAAAACAAGAGGTTTTTGCAGTTTACTGCTCGTGAGGATGCGTGTGTGTGTTAGCACGATTCAAAGGAAGAGAAAAGTCTGAATAAGTGTGACGCAGAGCTGCAGGAGGAAGTCTGATCTCAGCAAAAAGAACTTCAGTTTGCAAAGATGCAACTGAACGACCCACAAGATGTTTGGAACAATGACTTTAGACCCAAGTAGAGATGTTTACCCATAAATCACAAAAAGTAACTGCAGCATATCAGCATAAACATCTCATATTCTACAGCAGTGCTTCTCAAACTGGGGTCCTTAGACCCCCAGGGGTCTGCGAGCTGGTGCTTGGGGTCCGAAATTTTTATTTTATTGGATTCATTTACTTTTTTTTTTTTTTACAAGCATATCGATGTTCAACAATCTGTTAAAATATACCAAAATGCAGGAAATCACATCTACTTTATTGAAAATTTCTGAGGGAGGAACCCCCCCTCCCCTGATCCACCCGCTATTTACATCCTGGCATCCATCGGTTTACAAATGAAGTCCAGTTACTTGGTATGACTACTGCTGTTATGATCCTGTTCAGTTTAATGTTAAGAGTTTTCTGTAATAATTTGAAAAAGTGGCTATACATTTATTAAGTTTTAAAGTGGTTTTTGATACTGTTAATTTTCTCAAATCTGTAATTTTTGGAAGTTAAAATTATTATTTTTTTATGATATGTGTGTTGAATGAAAAATACCCCATGTTTAAAAGTATAAAAATTATATTAATACTATTAAAGAACAGGTCTTAAGTATTTATGTTACACAAATATTTCCAGGCGGTCCTTGAAACCTATTCTTCCCTGTAAGGGGTCCCTGAACCCAAAAAGTTTGAGAACCCCTGCTCTACAGCACGGTGGTGGAGGGGTGATGGTCTGGGCTTATTTTGCAGCCACACTTGAATGCTTTGCAGTCAATAGGTCGACCACGATCTTCTTTAATGTCCAAAAGATTCAATGGTCCAATGTGAGCTCGTCAGTCTGACAGCTGAAGCTCAGACCAAACTGAGTCATGATGCAGCTGAACAATGATCCCAAACGCAGCAGCGCATCTAAAACAGAACGGCTAAAAATAATTAAATAAATAAACTAGGGTGTTGCAAAGACCCAGCCCAAGTCCAGATCTCAACCTGGCTGAAATGTTGAGGTGGGACCTTAAGAAAGCTGATCAGAATTAAATGTCTACAAAACCCCAATGAATTGATACAACATTGTAAAGAAGAGTGGGGAAAGGTTCCTCCAAAACCATTTGAGAGGAGTCATACAGAATAACCTACTGAGAGTTTGCTGCTAAAGGTGGAGCTACAGCACCCAGGGTCGACTTAGTTTTTCACACACGTTTTCTTTTGCCTAAAAAATAACGGCATGGTGAAATCTGTTTTAAACCTACAGTATCGTTATTATTATGCCCTGATGTAAAACCCTAGAACTAAAAGAGGATGGACTTTCTTTTCCTCGTGACTCTTTGTCTTCTACAGGAACATGTTGAGCTCTTGCTCAGTTCAGTTTGAGCAGGAGGAAGAGGATGTTTTAGGGGTTTGCCTTTATCCTCATTTTGTTTCTTTGTTCCAGCCCAGAACGTGTTAAAAGCATCAATAACTGAGTGCAGCTGCACGTTGGTCTCTGGAACAAATGCACAACATTTAGCACACGGCACATGCACGTTTCACTCACCCTGGTTTCTTCTCTCTGTTTTGTGTGTTCGCAGTCGGTGATTAGTTTGATGTGACGCATGCATCCTCGCAGGTTTGTCCGTTCCTGACGCGGTTTTGATGCTGACCTTGTAGGTGCGCCAGGCTCCCCGCTCAATCGATTAGAGGTTAATTAGGTTTCTGAAATTGACCGGACATGCAATCACACTCAGCTTGCATAAATGCAAAGTGGGGCTGGTAAACAAACAGTTTTCCACATTTAAGCTGCCAATAGCATGGATGGATGCTGCAAAAAGAACATTATCGAGGAAGAGCAGGCAGATGCAACTTTCAGATTAAACAGGGGAAAGCTAATTTTTGTGACTGTTATATGAACAAAACAGCTACAAATAATGAGTCTTGTTTCAGGCAAATAAAGCTGAAAATCAATATTTTCTTAGCTGTGAGTCATATCATTATAAATAAGTTTATTTTTGTAAGCTGGCACAGAATCGCATGAATTATGTTGTCAAACCAACTATTTTTCCTACACCTTTACTGAATCAATTTGTTTACAGTTTCTGTTCATGCTGACATTGTTCTGCTGGTTTTCTGAGCCGCACTGACACCGTTAGTCTCAAATCAGTTTATTCCTGTGAAGTCGCCACAGGCAGCTTGTTTTCTGTCTGCACTCAAACACATTTTACACAGATTCCTGTAAGAATAAAGTTCTGTGAACTGGCGTGATCGGTTTCTGTCTCTTCCTGTTTTTGTTGTCCGTTCCACTCAGCTCCAGTTCCAACAATGAACTCACACACTAAAGAGATGTTAGATTTTATTTAGCAGTAAATCTGCTCATTATTCTTGCCCAAATTAGACAAACATGTCTCTCCCAATCTACCAGAGACTAATGGACTGTTTGCTTTTCTTGTGAAGTCACAGTTTAAATGAACAGAACTGATATGAAACTAATTTGACACGTCCCCATCTTGATTAGCTTTGGTAATCCAAAACACAGAAGAGCTGTTTGTGTTTGTGAGATTAGCATGAGCAAATACTTTCTGAGTTAAATTATTCTTTGTTAAAACATTAGCTGGGGCTAAAAAAAATCTTGACTTTAGTTTTAACAGTTCAGGATTTCCTTCATTATTGATACAGAAGTCATTTTATGTTTAATTGAGCTGCATAGAAACGTGTTGTGGCTAAATGTTGCTGACTTGGCACAAACATGAAATAGCGTCAGATTATTTTTGTGTCAGCAAGCGGAGCAAAGTATTTCATTAAAAAACAATCAGTTTTAGAAAATTATATTAAATCTCTCGGGATATCTGGGCAAGTTTATGCACAAAAAATTGGGTGATGTCCCTGTGTGTGCATGTGTTGTCTGTCATGTCAGCAAAATATCTTCTGAACCACTGAACAGATTTCCATGAAACTCTTCGAATAAATCCCTGGATGTACGTCTACCACTGAATAACCTCTGGAGTTATCTCAGTTCATGATGGCCGCCACCGCTTGTCGATCTTAGCAAACACAACAAAGGTTGTCACTCTGCCGATGTTTACAAATGTCCAACAGAAATCTGGTGAGGTAGTAGCTGAGAATCATCCTCAACTGATATGTTGAGAACAAACTGATCGAACTTTGTTTAAACTTTGGCATTAACTTCTGGATTTAACCCTGTCTGTCTGTTGGCAAAATATCTCATAAATCGTTGGTTGGATTAAAATAAATCCCAGGAAGACAAAACATTGGATGTATGTCTACAACTGAGTAATTATTCTGAGCCTCTCCAAATGGAGCTGCCACAGCTAATCAACCTCAACAGACACAAAAATGTCTAAAGCTTAGTCTGTTTTACAGATAACGTGCTAAACTTTTGGCATGGTAGTAGTTGAGAGTCATTCTCAATAAATACTCACATAATTGTCCAATATTTTGTGATGTTGCATGGTGATGTTGTGATATTGTGTGTTGACACATAATTCTATTTTCACAATTTTACCTAAAAAGTAAAAACTTCAATACCATTCAAGATAAAATTGTCTTAGTTTAAAATTCTACCATAAAAGGAGGCAGACAGTATGCATTCCTTTAAGAAACGCTGGGCTTTTTATTGTAAAACTGTTTTTAAGTGTTTTACTGTTTGCAATCTTCACATCAAGAGACCACAGTGACAGAACTTATTTTCAAGCGTTCTGCTGACATATTTTAGTTGTGAGACTGTGTGTCTTATCTTTTATCATATCATATTATATCATATCATAACAGATCATATTGTATCATATAGTGTTGTATTGTATCACAGCATCATATCACATATATCATATAATCATATCACATATCACAGCATCATATCACATATCACATCATCATATCACATATCACAGCATCATATCACATATCACAGCATCATA